AAGAATACTTCTATAACTTTTACAAATAATAATAATTACATTATATGACTGTAAATATTATAATAAAATAATAATTGAGTATTATATGGTGAACAATAATTAATAATTTTTTTTTTATTTTTTCTTATATCAATGAATAAATATGTATTCTAAAATCAAATAAATTTTAGTATGATGTGTTAGTGGAATTATAATTAATTAACATGTTAATTTTTTTGGCTTAAACAAACGCCGCTTATTAAAATATGTGAAATATGGATGATCCAAGCCTATTGTTTTTTTGTCTAGACGTACAAGTCCTATAGAAATAATTGATTTATTATATGTATCACGTGCATCGCACGGGATATGCACTAATAAATAACCTTAAAATTGTGCGCCCCGTGCATCACCCGTGTTCACATTTTGGCCTATTACAGGTCACATACTATATATATATCCCGTACATTTTTTTTTATTCATTTATATAATTATAAGAATGAATAAATGACCTTAAAATTGTATATCCCGTGCATCGCACGGGCTCTGTACTAGTAATTCAAAAAAAAGACGTACCAAAATATACATTACATCTAATCAGATAAACGTAATTTTTTTTTTTAAAAGAAAGTAAATATTCTAACTTCTTTATTTGTAAATTTGACATGCAAAAAAGTGAAAGAAAAATAATTAATCATTATATGAATATAAATAACTCACAATACTTTATTTACATCTGTGCAAATGCACAGGGTCGAATACTCGTTTGTTAATCAAAATTAGATCCGACCCGAGATGAAAAGTCATTTAATTTTGGATATCAAGACTATTATTAAACTTGGAGGATGAGGTGCGACTTTTTATCCCTAAAATTGAAACTTTGAAAAATGACCAGATGACCCACAAATAAAAATAATTTGTAAAAAAAAAAAAAAAAATGAAGGGAAAATTTATAAATTTAAATTTTATTTCAACTATTGTCATGGCAAACAAAAGTAGGAACTAAAAACTTTACATGAATCCTATCTTATGGACAGTCATTCGTGCAACAAACGTAGATCAATTTTGATCTTTATAGTTTAATCGTGTCTCATCTTAAATAAAAGAATCTTATCCTATTTAAACCAACAAAGGAGGCCTATATGTATATATTTGGTAATTTCTTCTCATTTAATTGTAAATATTTATATATTCATATGTAATATTAGGCCTGAGAAAAGCATTTGGTCTTGGATATATAAGACTATTGAATT